CAACTTAACCGTTCAGGTACCACCATGCTTACCCTCAACCATTTAAATGTTCTATATAAAACTATATTTCACGTAAGGCAAAATAATATAAGTAAGATAGATGTGTTATATGTCAATTTTAGAGCAAATTACTTTTATACACTTTTTGAAAATGTAGCTAACTTTGGTAGAGGAAATGATAAGCTTCCATAGATACAACCTTTTTGAAATAAAAACAGTGGATATATCACATGTGGTGCAAGAAATGCAGATGCTGGCTGAAATTGATCTCCAGAATACGGAGGAAAGATTACGTTTTACATTTAAGAAAAAAACAACACAGGTAAAGGTGGTTCAAGGTCAGGGGTTGGTAGCAGAGAATAGCAGTAAGAGGAGAAAAGAGTCCATAGGGGCTAGGAGAGGCAGAGAGCAGTCAACTATAAAGATATTGTCTCACACATATATAGGAAGCAAGCTTGACTACTAAATTCTGAATAAATCGCTAAAAGCAACTGAATGATGTAAGCATAAAATGCCTAATCTTTACCATGTACCCTAACTGCATTCAATGACTATTTAAATGGTGATTCAAAGCCGATAAAGGGCACATTTAAAAGCTCAGTAATCGGTTGATACAAGGTTGAAACATATCCATTATTCTCAAAGTGATGCACATAGACATTGGAGTTTTTCTGCAACTAATCCACTGATTTGGATACTGACTTACAGAGATTAAGTTGTTGCTCATTTCAGATCACCATGAAGTCTGGTATTTTATAATCCTTCCACTGTACTATTAAGCTAAACACCTGCAATGGTCTTTGTCCCCCAGAACTAAAGACCTGCTATGGTCTTTGTTCACCAGAGCTGAAGACCTGCTATGGTCTTTGTCCACCCAACCTAAAGACCTGCTATGGTCTTTGTCCACCCAACCTAAAGACCTGCTATGGTCTTTGTCCACCAGAGCTAAATACCTGCTATGGTCTTTGTTCACCAGAGCTAAAGACCTGCTATGGTATTTGTCCACCCAACTTAAAGACCTGCTATGGTCTTTGTCCGAGCAGAGCTAAAGACCTGCTATGGTATTTGTCCACCCAACTTAAAGACCTGCTATGGTCTTTGTCCGAGCAGAGCTAAAGACCTGCTATGGTATTTCTTCTAACATATATTTAGGGCAGCACTAAACCAGGATACACCACTGACCATGATGACAAGAAAAGTACACATCTTGTGGATAATGATTTTACTTAGAACATGGAAAAAATCCAAGCATCTCCATTTTCTATCTATTTTATGAGTAGTAATTCTGCTATTCGCCACCTTCTAACTGCATATTTCTGTTCCACCGCCAATTCAGGGAAAATTTCAAAATTGGTCGGCTTGTAGATGGTAGATCTCCTTTCTTTTAAAACATCACAGAGCATT